CAAGTACACAAGAGGGAGAGGATGGAGATAAAGATGAAGAGGTAGTGGAATTTGAAGATGGAGATATGGATGAATCTGAGTTTAAAGATTTTGATTCAATAGTAGTTGGGATGGGGGGATGATTAGTGACTAGTGACTTTTGTATTGAATTGTCAAATAACATTTTCAAAATATTCAGAAATGTAATTCTGATATTGTACATGATAATTTTTCTTATATGTTTACAATATTTAGTTTTTGTTTCAAGTTCGACAAGTTGTGGAAGGTTTATTTTTTGTTTGTTGAACTTTTCGTGTGATTTTGTTAAACTCTTTAGTATTAACTCACACACTATGTTGTATTAACTCATCTAGCTATGTATTATTTCATGTTACCTGACAAAACCAACCAGGTAACCTCTATTTTTTGTCCTATCAACTTTTAAAATTTGGATTTATAAAAAAATATTACACTGGTAATGCATGCTATATGTGTAGGATGTGTTCTAATAGAGGTCGGGGACTTGGTAGGCATGGTAGAAGTGGGCTTGGTCTTGGTGATAGACACACTAGTGATTACGTGCCTCTGTCATTTGACCAAGCAGTTAACGACTTCAATTTTTGAGATGAGTTAGTGGCCGGTAGGCGGACGATGGATACACCGTCTAGTACTACACTTGGGGGCCAGCCCTCTCCATCTAGCATTGCACATGGTGGCCAACCTTTTACTTCCGGCATAGCACATGGGGGTCAGCTGAATTGGTGAGTTCTGAACCTACCCATATTGATAGTTGCCAAATCATCCAACCATTCCATGATGGGTAAACTTCGTTTCAAACTTGGTCTAATTTTATTATTTAGTCTTAATTTATCTACATATTACTGTAACTAAACTTCATTCACTTTGTATTTAGCAGCTTTATTCCTGAGGGTGTCACTCGCCAAATAATGTCCATTTTTAGGAAATATATGGGGCCACATGCAACATGGGAGCAAGTCCCTTAGGATAGAAATGACAACCTTTTTATTAAATTTAAGGGGATACTATATATCTAAACTATTATTTGTTCTAAATAACAACCATCTCTTATTTACATATTTGTAATTTCACAAAACTATTGTAATTTTAATAGGAGATATACACGTTGGCATTAGTTGGAAACAACTGATAAGGCTATCTCTTTCTCTTACCCTCATTTTCCCTCAAGATCAGAGGGAAAAAAAGTTAAGCGAAAGACATAAAAAAATAAGGCTTGTGGAGATATCTTCCAGCAAGCAAAGCAGCTTTCATGATGTCTATGATCACGTCAGTAACCTCATCAACAGAGCAGGTGTTTCTTTTGAATGAACTTCTTCTGGACTTCATGACATTGCCTAAATATATGTCTAAATACAGAAGACTTGTCATCTATGTCTAAATATGCCTCTTGATTCAAATATATATATATATATATATATGTATTACTAACTTGTCATCTAATTCACATGCCTATTTTGATAAAGGAAGGCACTGGGTATCTCGGCATATATGGTTTAGCAATGTTGGTTCTCTCTAATATGTGCTATTTTGTGAAAAGTCCACGTGATTAGATCTAATTAGGCTTATCTCATCTGTTTGCGATCTCTAATATATTTTTTTATTTTAAATGTTCCAAATTTTCAAATTTCTTGAAGGAATTCTTTGTATTTACTTTGATGATAATGTTGCCCTCTATATTTCTCAGCAACACATTCTAGGAATAACCTCATTTCGTGGATAGTAACACATCTGCATTTATAAATGCATTTGCTTGGTCACGAAGGATAACTATATAAGCATCCCCTAACTAGTTCAATTTTAGTTGATTTAACAAGCATCATTATTTGCTAAAGTTGGTGTGAACTAATTTTGACAGATATGTTGTGAATCTATAATTTTGATAACACAATTGGTTCTTGGGTATTACTACATGCAACTATATTGGTAGGTTGACTCAAACTAGCTACAAAAGGCCGAAGAAGATGATGAAAATTGAGTGGTCAATCCTGTTAGAATAGTGCTATAAACTTGCTGAATTTTGTGCATTTAGTGTGCAACTTGAGATGTCTTATAATGATAAGAATATAACGGCCTAGATCACATTTTTCCTATATTAAAGCCTCTATGGTTTGTAAGTTGTGCAAATTATTATTCTTATTTTTTTTGAGGGGGTGGGCTGGGGATTATCCATGCTCACATTTGTTGGATTATCCTTCAACTGGCTTGGAGCATAATTCTTCTTTGGTGGGTACATGACCCATAATTACTATGCATGTTTCCCATATCTGCGCTTTACTATCATAACTTACTCCTCTATTGTTTCCAAGTTAACTAACTCATGCCATTCGCACTGATTTTACAGCATGGCTAGTCTTTTGGGAAAATTATAAAACTTTCTGACTAAATCTCGTGGATATGAATTAGTTATACAATTCGTGTGCAACATCCTGCAATTTGTCTACTAATTTTTGGTTGAAGTGTTCAACAAGTATATCATTTTTGATGTCTAATTCTGTAATCCTATACATCAAAGTTGTTCAATTTTTTTCTTGGAATTAGATCATTGCAACTAATTCCTGATTTGGTGTCGTTGGGTTTACTGAAATTAAATTCCTAATACATACTTTATCTTGTTTTCTATTTTGTTCCCATGTAGCTACTTAGAAGCCTTGTCCTCTGCCTCTATAGATTTGTCTAGTTTAAAGTAGGTTCCAAGTATCCATTAGAAGCCCTGGCCCTGTATTACATTACTTGTGACAGCTCGTTATTTCTCTTTCTTTCTTTCTTTCTTTTTTTTTTTTCCATGTGAAAGTTTATGGTTTAAAAAACCAGACCGGACTAGTCCAACCGTTGACCGGTCATATTACCGGTCCGGTTTTAGTTGAAAACTGATAAATTAGAAAAAACCCCTTTATTTTGTGAAAACTGTCCAAACCACCAGTCCAACCGTTTAAACGGTTAAACCTCTCACAATTTAATTGAATTGAACGGATTGAAAATGCTTCTAAAAATGTGCAACCACTGGGACTTGAACCTATGCCAACAACCTAAAAATGTGGTTTTCCACCAACAAATTATGCTAATATGTTAAGAGTTTTGTCTTTACTAAAATATATATTGATAATTGATATTATATCATCAAGAATGATTAACATTTTTAACAAAATTTTATATTTAAAAATTAATAGAATAAAAAAAATTATTTTCATATATTATTCAAGTTGATTAAATTTGGATCACTTCATTTCAAGATAGAAATGTAAATAATTTAATTATTTTTAATCTAAAAAGCTATTTAAATTTCTATCACATTTTTATTTTCTAATTATTTGATATTATTCTTTTTTTCTGAAAAATTGTAATCATGTAAAAAAATTGTGATTTGTGAACTTTTTTTAATTTGAGAATAGTGAGAGAACTTAAACAATTATAATTTAGATCTTTTATATTTATTTTAAATTAGAAATTAATGGTGTATTTTTATTATATATATATATATTACGTAATTATGACGTCACAGTTCAATTACAATTCGATTGCAATTCCATAATGGTCGGACCGGTGAATCGTGAACTAGTAAGTTTTTTGATTTAATGAACGGTCCGGTTTTTTAAAACTTGCAAAAGTTTGTATCCTTGAGGTGTTTCTCTATTTTAGTATTTGAACAATTTCCTATTCAATTTTCATAGTCATTTACATTTCTAAGCAAATATATGCTTTAAAACATTACTAGCTTTATTCATCCTCCTAAATGTAGCAGAACTGGATATTTTGAAAGCCTTGACACCCAAACTTAGGCTACCAACCTGGACATGCATTCTCCACAATATTATCACTTTTTTTAAAAAAAATTCTTATGTCATTTTTTTTTTCCTTTTATTATAGGCACCAATTAATATAGGCAGTGCGGTTACATCATTTATTGATGATAGAAGATCATCGTGTAGAAGCAACACCCATTCAACTAATTGAATGAGTCCTCATTTCTAGTCACATTCTCATGTGATTTATATTGCACACTTATGTTTATATTATTGTTATGTAATTTTAGATAATATTTGACGGCACTTGAATATGATGCTAATTTGGAATTGGCTGTTGTAGTGTTTTAGTTATTAATGAGAATTTTAAGATTCAGACCCATATGCTTGTATTATACAAATTTTAATAAATAAGATTTGGTACAAAATATTTATTAATTGTATAAGAACAAATTTGCATCATAGGAGGCTAGGAATAATAAGATAGGTAAAATAAAAAAAGGTAGTTTATAAAAAAGCAAAAAATGGTGATTTAGAAAATAGCCAAAAATTGCAATAAAAGAGCAAAAAAGCAAAAAATCATTGTAATTTACCTTGAAGTAGTAAAGATACCACCATAATTTACAGTTAAAACTGTTGTAATTTATACAAAAAATTGCCATAATTTGTACAAAAAATCACCATAATTTACATCAAAATTGCAGTAATTTATAATTAAAACTGTTATAATTTACAATAAAAAACTAATTGTAAACAAAGGTGATTAAAAACTGCTATAATTAAACTGCCATAATTTATGCAGTTGAACCACTATAAATTAACCACTATAAATTATGGCAGTCAAAATTGTGGTAATTTAATCGCCATACTTTACTATTATAAATTACAACAGTTAATGTGATAATTGGCCTTTGATCACCATATTATACTGAACGATGGATAGAATTATGGTAGTTTTTGGAATCGCCATATGTGTAAAAATAGCAGTTAAAAATTACTGTATTTTGCTAAAATAACTGTCGTAATTTACATGTTTTTTTGTAGTATTTAAACTATCAATTTATTTTAGTATTAATTTCTAGAATCATATCAAATTAAAAAAATTTAGAAGATAGGCATTTTCAATTTTATAAGAATAAAGATATTAAAGAAAAAGTAAAAAAATGTTGGTGGGACTATATGCTTGACTTTATTCGATATAATAGAAGATGAAGCTTTTTACAGAACACTAATAATTTGCTTTTATGGACATTGTGCAGAATTGCCTGGACCTCCATACTGAAAGTAAGTACCCGCATTACCCTGTCTGTTTGGTGCGATTTGTGAATCGTAGCATAGAGGATTCGTAACATATGTTTGAGGATTAGCCGGCTCACTCCAAGCATAATTTAAGTTGTCCATCATTCGAATGTTGTGGAAATAGCTTGATTTTTTATAACCTTCATTTGGGAAATGGCCGCTTCCCATTTGAGTAGTTGTGTGATGTCCATTTCTTTTGGAGTCAAAAATTTCTCCACCCCAATGCAATTCATCGGCATCGTTTGCTAAGGTAGTGAAGATATTTCCAGGCCAATAGCCTATTAGTTCATCTTGGACCAGAAGCAACCAGTTTTTCGTCTCCACGTCCTGTGATAGATTGACAATGTTTAAATTTATCTATAATCTATATATATTTTTGAATGTAAGAGTGAAACAGATGTTCCTATACCTGGAATATTTCTACTAGTATCTCAAATGACTCCTCAGCGTAAATGGAAACAGGGGCAATGGGAGAACCTACTCCAAATTTTTTACTCATTTGCACAAAACCAGGGCAGTCGAGATCATAACATCCCGTGGTTTGGTAGCCATCGCTCTTATATCCAAAATGAAGAATACGTCAATTCAAATTTGTAAAAACAGAAGCAACAAGTAGGGTTAACTTTGATACCAGAATTGTTTAAAAGATGAGTTTTTCTATGTAAGCAATTTTAAAAAGAGAAAAAAGAAGTATATTTTCATTGATTAAACTATGAAATACAGATAAATGTTTCTTATTTTATTACCTCCTTGTATATAAACAAAGACTTTATATGAATTATCCAATTCTTGTGAGAATAGAAGTAAACAAACTTACCGTCCAATATACAAAAAATCTAGTCTGATGGTCACCATACCTTTCTGGAAGAACCTAAAAAATTTTAATAGCTACTTCATATATTTGCTTTGAAATTTTGATAAGGTAATGTAATTTGGACACTAACAAACAACAGACTTACAATCCATCCGACTTCAATGGTATTCACGCTTTCTAGTTGAGTGTTACTCGCAACCCACATTTGAGATATACTCATTTCATTTTCCTCTACCTGAGGGTTCCATATATTAATCCGCGCTTGTGATCCATGGTAAGAGCCTCCTTCTCGTAAACTATGGCATACGAAGAAGAAGATTATTTCCAAATTAGACTCGTTAGCCACCCATTCAAGTAAGCATCTATTGTTTGTGCTTGTCCTTTCAAATTGAGAAAGAGAAAAAAATCTATTGGGAGTAGAAACACTAGATTCTCATTTGATTTTTTTGGGTCAAAATTCATATTTATATAGTAGTAGTTTGAACGTCCGTCGAGAAAATGGTTTTACTAAACAAAAAAATGGATCCATGGGGATAGAACTTTACCTCGTGACCATCATGTATATCCGGATCCAAACTACTGTTGAAATTTCTTCCATGCAAGCCAATTGGAAAATGTCGATGAGGGTCATATTTTTTTGTCCTTCTGATGGGAATTGTTCCATCGGGGCACTCTCCATTTTTACGCCAATCTTGAATAATCTCCGGTAGGGTTTCATCCACTTTTCTCCCACTTGGATACGAGCTAGGCTCCACCTTGTTACATTAAAAGCAAAAACAAATTAGGATCTACCAAAAATAATTATATTCAATTTTCTTATGTTGCCTTTTATAATGATTTCAAAATAAAAATAATGCATAAAAAAAGGATCTTCTTTGCCATTCAAGTGCTAAATGTTCCTTGATTCAAGTTGACCAAACGCCAATTAGGCCTTCAGCATCGACGCCAATATAATATTGGGGAGCTTGGTTTATAACTGCCAGGTCTAAAAGAATAAACATTACTGGATTGAATGCTGCAATTCCAAATTAAATCAAAGAAAAACCTGTAAATCGTTGATGAGAGGATGGTAAAATGCTGGTTGTTTGTAAATGTCCACACAATCAATCACGTCTCTGCCATCTTCACTCTACAATTTGAGTGGGGAAAAAAAAAAAAGAAAAAAAAATTAAATTAAAAAATTGAAGATTTTGCCCCTCCTTTTTTTTTTTTTTTTTTTTGGTTGAGGGGAGGAGGTCCGTTAGTGTGAGCAAGCTAAAAGAGAAGAAGAGTGTTAAAAGATAACCTCAATGGTCTTTACTGTTCCTTTAGGCTTCAATAGCATGTGGTAGTTTTCGTCCTTGACGCGCGTTGCTTCAATGCATCCATTACTTGCAACATTTATCATAGCCACCATTAGGATTATCTTGTAGCATGAAACACAAGCATCCTGCTTTTCTTTAACCATTCTTCCTCTTCTTCTTGTTATTCTTCTTTATTTTTATTTGTTTGAAAAGCTCTAGATTGTGTATTTAGAAGTTTTCATGTGGACACAATTTATAGGATTGAAAGCTTGACAGGTACAAGTAGATGGTTATAATGGAGGACATAAAAGGTGTGTAAATACTATAAGTAGAAAATAAGTCACAAAGAGGTGTTTTATTCAACAACCATTTAAGGATAAAAGTTATAAAATACAGCAAAATCTTTATAAGAGAAAGTATTTACAGCATAATATTTGTAAAATGTGCAAAAAATGCATTAACTAGATGATATTTGAATAGTTAATGCAAAAGATTATGCTAAATCAAGATTATTTTCTAATAAAATAAACTTTTTATTTTGTTGGAAAAGAATCTGGTAGATATAAATTCATTGAAATATTAACTAATATTTTCAACGTTCGACATGTTTGGACATATCATCATTTATAGTGTGTTCACAATGAAAGGTGATTAAAAACTATAGATTGTGTCTTTTAGAAATTTTTGTGTGGACACAATTTATAGAATTGAAAGCCCAGACAAGTATAAGCAGACGTTTGTATTGGAGGACATAAAAAGTTATATAAATATTGTAGAGAGAAAATATGCCTAATAAAGAAATATTTTATTTAACCATACATTTATGGATAAAGTTATAAAATACAGTAAAATTTTTATTATAGAAAGTATTTACAGTATTATATTTATAAAGATTTGAAAATTTTAAATATTTATGGAAAAAAATTATTCTAACCAAGATTTTTTTTTCCGTTAAACTTTTTATTTTATTTAAGGGAAAATTGACCACTTTGAAATTCGTTAAAATATTAACTAAATATTATTTTCCTTAAATGTTCTACTAATTTGGTCAAGACCTAACTACTCGCATTAAAGCTTGATTATATTAAAATGTTTTATTGGTTAAACTTTCTCCTTCAGTCTATCTCACATTCATGCATATGATTCTAAATTGCAAGTAATTTTACAATTTAATTTAATTCTAATTTGTAAGTAATTTAATTGGTTTGTGATGTTAATCATGCTATATATAATTGTTTTTATCTTTTAAATTATTATAATTATTTTTCCTTTAACGACATTAACTTAGTCTTATCTTGGGTCTGGCTCTAATTTTACTGCATACCTAGGCACAACTTAGTGGAAAAAGGCCCAAAGTGTAAATCGTTTTAAAATTTATTCTTATAAACTAGAAAAATGAAAGGTCACCAAGTGTGCAAACTTGGGCAGTGGATGTAAATTTTTAATTTCGAGAAAATTATTTTTTTAGCGTAAAAGGAGTTTCAAAAATACCAAAAATTCCCAAGGTCAGTAGACAGGCTTGGGCCTCGAAGAATTAAGCTGGGTTGATTCTTCCCGAGGACCAAAGCATGGGGCAAGTTGGGGAGTCTCGGGTTGTAGGGTTTCAGCTTTGGCATTACAGATCAAATCAAGACATTGGTTTTGTGGAGAGGATCATCTTCACAACAAAGATGAAGATCTTCGTCTTCGTCTTCGTGCGGAGACGAACATTCAGGCAAAGGGGAAATTACCATATTTAATTCAAACTAAACTAAATCAAATACTTTGATTTTGTAGTACAAATAACCGAACTATGCCATATTAACTATCAATATATTTGATATAAAACTTCTAGAATTAAATCAAATTTAAAATAACTAGAAGATGAAAAAATTTCAACATTTAGAAGGACACAAATATTAAATAAAAAATATACAAATTAGGGTCTGGGATACCATTCATTTGGCTATATTTGACTATAATAGAAGATGAAGCATTTTGTACCAGTATTGATAAATTGCTTTTTGGACACCGTGTAGAAAAACCTGGACCTCCATAGTAAAAGTAAGTACCAAAATTAGTCCACTTATTTTCCACAACAACCTTCATACAAGAAATGGCCGCTTCCCATTTGAGTGGTTTTGTGATGTACATTTAATTTGGCATCGTAAATTTCTCCACCCCATTCCACAAGTCTAGCACTGTCTGCTAAGGCAGTGAAGATGGATTCGGGCCAATAGCCAATTGCTTCACCTTGAACTTCAAGCCACCAATTTCCCGAGCTCTTGTCCTGAGATAGTTTGAAAACATTTAGATATTCTATAAATGTTTGTGAATATAACATGTGAAAAAGATGTTCATAAGCGTTGAATATAACTATTTGCTCATATGCATTCTCATTGTCCGAGCTCTTATCCTGAGATAGTTTGAAAACATTTAGATCATTCTATAAATGTTTGTGAATATAACATGTGAAAAAGATGTTCATATGCGTTGAATATAACTACTGTTTGCTCATATGCATTCTCATTGTAGATGGAAACAGCTGAAAGGGAGCCTCCAAGAGCATACTTTATTTGTTTGCACAAAACCTGGACAACTGGGATCATAACATTAGGTTAATAATCTCTCTAACTTTTGCAATGAAAAATAAGTGAGTTCAAATTTGTAAAATCTAAAGAAACAAGTCAGCTTTGGTACATAAATTGTTAAGAAATTAATTTTCTATACTAGCAGTAAGAAAAAAAGAAAAAAGATGTATATTTTCATTGGAAAAGTCATGAAAGGTACATGGGTATTTCACATTTTACTATAGAAAAGAAAAATTTATACATAAAGAGTTAATTTATAATTCTGAAATATTCTTTTGTTACCCTTTTTCTGATTTTAAAGAGTTAATTATTTAATTACAATAAAACTAATGTCAAGTAAAAGCATTGTTCTCTTGCAATTCAAGTGTAAATGTTTCTTAATGCTATTTGACCAAACAATAATCATGCCTTCTGCATGGACCTCAATCTCTTATTTGGGGAGCTTGATTTATGACTGTCAGGGCTAAAATCTTGAAAAGAAAAGGAATAAAATAGCTTTTTACAAGTACATTTATATTCAATTACAAGTATATATATCTATTTATTGAACAAAGTCTAAGCATAAGTCTCACAGTAATTGTCACATTCCACACTAAGTATTTCATGCACAATTAATGCTTATGTATTTATGTATTTATTTATTTATTCTTTTCATGCATCATTTGTTAGTGCACCATCTTAAAGTGCCATGTCACATTTGCATGCATTTTATGAATACTAGTGTTCTTGGAAACAAGTGAGAGTTAGTATAAAATTTTAATTATGACTTTAAAATAAAGAATAGGGGGATTAAGGGAACTTAGAAATAGATATAGTATGATATTAGGAATAGCATGTGAATTCTTAATGGAAATGTGAAAAAATTTTTGGAGAAAACCTTAAGAATTGATCATATAAAATGAGCACTTTGAGTTATGGAGATTAGGGCACTAAATGAGTAGTTTAATTATGCCTTTTGAAGGTAATTTAAAGAATATATATAGTGTAATAAGAGAAAAGTGGAGGGGAAGTAGTGATTAAGGGGACATGGAGGAAATTACTGAAAATTTTTAATGAAAAAATATGTTTCTGACTTTTCTTCAAGGGGGTGGTGCCTCCTATACATAAGTTATATACATATCTTCTAGACACACCCAGTTAGTTCATGCAAGAGAGAGAAAGAGGAGAAAAAGAGAGAATGAGGGAGAAAAAAGGGAAGAAAAATCAATAAACTTTTTGAAACTTCTTACGATTTTGTGAGATTTTTTTTTATATCATAGCTTTTTATTCATTTAATCCTATTTAAATGGCTTGAATCCATGTTTGAACTGCTGAAATTATGTTGCACCTCTACTAGAAAAAAACTGAAATTTAAGAAGAAAAGTTTGCATGGTTTGTTGCTCTTGTGGAGATTTTTGTTGAAACTTGTGCTAGGAGGAATTGCTAAATTTCTATGTTGGAATTGTGATTTTGCTGCTATATATGGTGCTGAAAAATAGGGAAAAATAGAAGATGTTGAGTTGGTGTGGAGAATTGTAATGGCTTTATTGAAAAAAAAAAGGGGGGCATGGTGAACAAATCAAAAGAGTAGGTGACTGAATTAGAAATGGGAGGAGTGAATTGAAGAAATTAAAACTGGTAGGGGCTGGATCATGACAGGGGAAGAAGCCTTCGACCGAAAACTGGCCGAAGGTCCTCGAACCCAATTTGCTCCAATGAGAGCAAATCAAGACTTAAAAATTTTTGGTAATTGTGCTTTAAAGGGAGGCAAGTGTGGGTGTGAAAAAAATCGGAGGGATTGAGAGCTGGAGAGGGAGAAGTGGAGAGGGGAAGATTGTCAGCACTGAACGGATTTTCTGGAAAAAATTTCGATTTTCGGCTGGATTTTCTCCAATTAAACGTAGTTAGGCAGCTCAAGGACTTCGGAATTGAGCTCAGAAAGCTTCAAACCAGCTTGGTAAGTTGGAATTTTTGAGTTTTTGGGTGATTGGGGGTGTTCGGGCCTATTGCAGGCACCTGGGTCTATGACCCGGGTTTCTAGGCAAGAGTGACAGACCCGAAAGCTTTTGGGTTTGTCCTGTGTTGACTGGGCCGATTCGGCCCAGTCTGTGTTGACCAGGCCAGTTCAGGCCTTAGACCAGCCTGGACCATGACGGTCAGGCCGGTTCCCAGTTCAGGGGGTTTTGGAGGAGGTGCTTGAACCGGGTTTGGGCGGTGGGCCACCCTAATTCACCTGTTTCTATAGGGATGAAGTGTTAAACAAGCCGGTTTTCTAGTTTTTGGGCCGGTTCAAGGGCTTGAGGGTCCAATTCAGTTTGTTTTTCAGGGAGATTTGGCTAGTTCAATTCGGTTCTCTACAGTTAAGAACTAGTTCTGCATAGGGTGTAAAGGGTTAAGTCCGGTTCACTCTGGTTTAGGTGGATTTGAGCCCGGTTAGGCTCGGTTCATGGGAAATGGGCCAGGTTCAGTCGGGTTCAATGAGGTTTTGGTTGAGTTCAGTCCGGTTCTTGATGGTTCAAGGCTAGTTTAGTTCAGTTAGGAAGCCTGGGAATCCAGTTTAAGCTTGTTTGAGAGTTTTAAAGTCCGATTCGTTTCCCATAATTGAGTTATTTAGAATAAAAATTTGATTTCTGATTCTAACTTACAATTTAGGGATTGTAGATACTCTGGAGGAAGCACACAGGGATCAATGAGTCATCTATTAGAGGTTCGATGCCCGATTTTGACGTGCCCGGTGAGTAACAGTACTTTCTATACATGTGTCCGTATTTGGGTTTTCTGTTATCTTCTATCCTTTGATTTCTGAATTATGATGTTAATTTAGGGACATGCATCTATCTGTCATATCTTTGTAAACTTGAAACTCTTTCTGTAAATATTTATATACATGCCTTAGTGATATATGTGTTTTTATAAAATTATCTATCGGGAGTTTTCTGCGATTTTGATTTTGATTCTGGCACGGGATTTTGGTAGGATATGTGATATGTGATATGTGGTTCTGACATGGGATCCTGGTGCGGCATGTATGATATGTGCTATATGGTTCTGATACGAGGTGCCAGGGACTCAGCCAGCAAACGATGGATCGCCGTAGCGTGCGGGGAGTGCCTTGGGCCCAATGATGTGATATTTGTGATTCTGATTTTGGCACGGGATCCCAGTGCGATACGTGATATGTGTTATGTTCCGATACGTTGACTGATGTTTGATTTTCTGATTCTGACAGTGTCACTTGAGGAAATTGCGATTTTTGTAAACTATGTTATTGTTTATCGATTAAGATGATATTTGTGTTTAAACTTTACGATGCATGTTCTCGCACGTTTAGAATGGTACTTTCATTCACTGAGTTTTATACTCATCCTTTTTCCCCCATTTTTCAGATTTCTGTTTTGATCTACGGCGGTAGCTACTGGGTCGATCTCGTCCACCACTACACTTATTGATGTATGGGCACATTCTGTATAAATGTTTCAGTTTTTGTACTCTAGTAGCTCTATGTATCACTCAGATATATTTTTGCTTTGTATATACATATATTGGTATATATTTTAAAATCATGCCTTTTTGTTCTATTCTGGTTGGAGACTTACTAGGGTCAATAAATTGACCCTGGCGCTAATTGTGCTCCTAAGATGGGGCATGACAGAGGTGGTATCAGAGCTGGTTCAAACTTGAGGATATTGGTGCAAGGCCTTTGGTAGTGCTTCTGTCATGGCGGTGAGGGCCCCACTTTTATAATAGGGGAATTGCTAGAAACCTTTTAGGAAATGTTTGAATTAGTTTTCAATTTCTTATTGCTCGATTACTCTGTTGCTAAGTTCTATTGTTATTCTGTTGTTTTTCTTAGATGAATCCTTCGTGTGATATTCGTACGCCCCCTTGAGAGACTATAAACCCCGAGGCGTCAGGAAACCTCTCGGGAGGAGCCACCCCTTCACAGACTAGAGGGAGGGGCCGTGCCAAAGGGCGAGGAGGAACTACGAGATGAGCTCATGAATTGACTACTGCTGCCAGTACTACTGCCTCCTCGATTGCTTCTAAGTTGTTGATAGGTCTTATGGCTAGCGTTCAGGGGCTCTAGTAGGCTATGACTCAGTTTATGGGAAATATGGCTAGCTCGAGCAGGTCGCCATTTCTAGCCAGCTCTTTAGTGAGTACTACCCTCGATTCTGTTGCGATAATGCCTGCACCGGAGCCGTGTAGGTCTGGTTTTGATGGGTATTTTCGTGACTTTCTGAGTATGGATCCTATCACTTTCTCTGAGTCTGGTACCAAGGAGGATCCACATGAGTTTTTGGACACTCTGGTAAAGATGTTTGTGATTTTTCAGTGCTCTAACAATAGGCGAGTAGAGCTAGTAGCTTTTAGACTTCAAGGGGTAGCCTAGGCTTGGTATGATCAGCAGTTGACCCTTCGCCCGACAGGTGCCGTTCTAATGAGTTGGGATGAGTTTCGCACAGAGTTCCTAGGGAGGTTTTTACCGACCAGCAAGATTGTGGAGTTAACAGGGGAGTTTGAAAGATTAGTACAGAGGCCAGGCATGACCATGTTAGAGTATGAGGCAGAGTTTACCCACCTCTTTTGCTATGCCCCTGTTCACGTTCCGGAATATGTCACTCGTACTACGAGATTCATTCAGGGGCTGTCTCCCTCATTATATTGGGCCCTGGGATCTCATATAGGATAGTCCAGTTATGCTCGGGCAATGGGGTCTGCCTGTTTCTTGGAGAATTCTAGGGTACTTGAGCAAGTGACATGAGATACAGGGACGAGGATCAAGACGAAGGGCTCTTTTGGTGGCAGTACCAATTCTCAGAGAGGATCATCATCTCGTGGCCAC